TGTAATTATATATGTGTTTTCCGATGGTCTTAGGCGACCCCTGCGAAAGGGTCGTTCGACCCCCAAAGGGGTCGCGACCCACAGGTTGAGAACCGCTGGTTTAGACGTATATAAAGCCTGGCGCCTGTCCGCTCTGTGGTCCTGGGTGAGCTGGCGGCCTGAACTCTCACGACAGTTAATCCTCGCTCAGGTCAGTCCGCGCAACACAATACACTTCACGGATATTGAACGTCGCATAGAATTGGAGCCATTAATCACGAACCCTCGGCCCAGGGGCTTCTCCACTTGCACCCTCAGCATCACTGGAGCTGCGGACGGTGGTTCTTAACAGGCTCAATGCGGAACGAGGAGGGTTTCAAGTACATTAATGATCAGTAGTTATTTATCACAGGAGTTGAAATTTCCCATATACTTTCTTCCTATTCAGATCTGGATATAAATAAAGAGAACAAGAAAAGACATCATTCAAGAACTACGAAAATAATTTGAAAAGACTATTAAGGGAATGTACTATGATATGTCATTGATTAAAAATTAACACACAGCCCTAGTAGTTTGGCTCAGTGGATAGAGCGTCAGCCTGGGGACTGAAGGGTCCCGGGTTCGATTCCCAGTCAAGGGCATGTACCTATGATCCCCGGCCCTGGTCGGGGCATGTGTGCGAGGCAACCAATCGCTGTGTCTCTCTCACATTGATGTTTCTCTCTCTGTCTCTCCCCCTCCCCTCCACTCTCTCTAAAAATCAATGGAAAAATATCCTCAGGTGAGGATTAACACACACACAAAATTAACATACACATTAAATTTTAGTTTAACTCAGTGATCGGTAAACTCATTAGTCAACAGAGCCAAATTTTTTAAACTTAAACTATATAGGTAGGTACATTGTTATTAACTTAATTAGGGGACTCCTAAGCTGGCCTTTGCTAAAAACGTCCTCAATCTGAGGGGTCGGCCTCAGCAAACGTACCCCCACTTCTTCTAACGCCACTTCTTCAAAATAGACTCGCCCAGGCCGAAAACCGACTTCTGCGCATGGGCCACGAAGTTTCAATCGCACTGTACGTGCGCGCCCGCACGTGGTATTTTGTGGAAGGGCCACACTCAAGGGGCCAAAGAGTCGCATGTGGCTTGCGAGCCGCGGTTTGCCAACCACTGGTTTAACTGCATGCCTATTTAGCAACCTTATTCATTAAAATATACCTTTGCTCTACAATGAAATAAGGAAAATATAGTTAAAATAAATTACTTTAAAACTGTATGTAAATATTGATTTAGGAGAAGTGATTTTAAGTTCAGGATATGTTCTGTTTTGGGGCTCTGCCAATTAAGACTGACCAAAAAAAAATATTTTGCTTGTAAATACCACCATTTCCAGTGTCGCTGAGCCAGCGTGAAAGCATGAATTAAGCTCTGCGGTGCCATGTGACCCACTGTCCTCATATCCCAGTTCACTCCGCAGTTCCATTAGTGCCGGGTATTTAATGGCACATTAATACATTATAATACGTTTTTCTCATGAGAATTTGGCCCAGTGCCAACCTCACTTTGTAAAAAAGATCAAAGCTGCCGGTCAGATGAACTCGGCCTTGACGTCCCTGTGTTTGGTTCTGGAAACTTAACTCTGGATGCGTCATGTCCTTCAGCTCTTCCCTGGGTCGCATTTACCGAGGAAAAGCTCAGGTGCCTGGGCGGGCGGGGGAGTGTTCGGAAACGTGGAGCGCGGGCATTTCTGCTCGGCCCCGAGTCCCGGGCCCCTCTGCCTCTCAGGGCACCGCCTCCTCCTTCTGACAGCCTTTCAGCTGCTTGGCCAGCACAGAGCAATGAAGGCCCCGCTGCTGACTCCCCGGCCGTCTGGGTTTTGCAAAGGTCACAGATCAGAAGGGATTTCAAACTGCTGTGCCTCTGAGCTCGGATGCGGACAAGCGTCTGAGGTGCCCGCCCAGCGGTGCCCGCGTCGTTACCGAAGTGTGAGCAGCTCTGGCCTCTGAGACGGCCACACGGAGAAAGGCTCCGCGCGGAAGGGCCGCCCTGTTGTGACCGCGGTCTCTGAAGTGAGTCACGTACCGATTTCCTCTCCGGGAAGTTTATGAAACTGATGACTTTGGCTTTGAGAGCCCCGAGCCTCTGCGGTTTGGGCGGTCTGAGTGGAAGTTGCCAGATGAATGCGGTCATTTGAAAAGGTGTGCGAAG